AGGACAACTTGCATGAGCAGCAGCTTATAGGACTGAGCCAATAATATCTGGAAAGTAGAGGAAGATGCACACACTAAAATTTAAATCTCACAACTCATTTATCTCTGAGTGTACTGAATTTTTATAGTTGTTTTGAATCATTAAATCCTGAATTAGATCCCTAGTGTGATCAGTTTGAAGAGAAATGAGCTGTCACTGTTGAAAGAGTTTTCTGGTTTTTATTTGAAAGATGTGCTTTGTCAGGACTCCCATCCATAGGGCCCAACCAAACCCAAGCATGTTTGGGACAGGAGCCACGGTTGTATCACCACTTATGGTGAATTAAAGAAAAATAAATTTACCTGTACTGATCTTTTTTTTTTTTAACATTCTTAAGCCCTATTTTACATTCTCCAAATGCAAATATGTAGGATCTAATCGTGAAGAATCTAGTCCATATTTAGCAACCACAACAACAACAAAGAATCGGAGCTGACTAGGAACAGGAGATAACATTTAAAAATAATTAACTGGTCCGAGAAATAGAAACCAGTGCAACATGTATCAGCTGAAAATTCATTTTGACCGTTAAAGTGGAAAAAAAGGAATAAAATGTTCAACACTGAATATTGTAACAGCTGGGCCCTCATTAAATTACCCATCTAATTCCAAATTACCTTTACATGCAGTATTTCATTTGCTAGCCACAGAACAGGGGAAAATTCAAATGATTTTTAGCCAGTTCAAGAATCTGTCCTTCTGATGCATTAATTGCTGTCCATAAAGAAGCAAGATTCTATTCACTTCTTCCTGATTTGAATTATTTGAAATAAATAATTAGCCTATGTATTTCTCATTGCATATTCCCATTGCAAGGGAAAGCAACGGCTGGATGTCTTGCGATATGGGGCATTTAATTCTATATTAAAGGGAGCAGGCTAGTAAGTCTGAAAGTTGTTACCAACTCTGAATACGTGACCCATTGGTTCTCTGGGCCTTGCAACCAGAAGGCTTCCAAATTAAAAATGGCAAATGTGGCCTTAGCCCCAGGCTGATGGACGACCCTCTGATCTAGGGACTGTCACTCTGAGACGCCTCTGAGTCAGGCTGAGGCACATTTATGTCACTGGGCAGCATACGGTGTGTCAAAAGACTCGACTCAAGGTTATTGCCACATTTTTTACACGCACCAAACTCACTCTACAATGGAGCGGGGGAACACAGAGTGCAACTGCAGTTCTTCCTCATGCTCAGGCCATTAAGAAAATAATGCAACCCATACATGCAAATATCCAGGGATTTTTTAAATGCACATCAGGCCACACGCTTTACATGTGATTCATACAGCTTCTTCCTTGTCCTAAATGCTGTTCTTGCCTATACAAGACCTAGACATGGAAATAAAATCTAGGTGACATGGAGATAAAATCTGGGTATGAATACTCCTTTTCATAGATTTATGCAGCAGGTAAAATACTGATTTCATTGTGAAATTCACAAGTGAATCCCAATTTCTGTTGATTTTTACGAGGCCAGAATATTTGCCAGAGTTCTCACAGTATGAGAGATCCATTACTCCCTATTTTTGCTACTCTAAGATTTCATCACTTCTGTTTTTAAAAAGTCATACTTTAACCTTGCCTGAAGGACCCATTTACAGAATCACGATCTATTTATTTCTACATTAAAGAGAGAAATCTTATCTAAAAACCCTGTGCGGAAAAACTATCCTGCACCACTTAAAATCCCTCCCAGAGCTGGACAAGTTCTGACATTATCAATAATGCTGTTGCATAAGGACAGATATAAACAGCAGTTACACTACACACTGGCATCTAGTGCATTAGAAACACAAGCAGGAGTAAAAAGTGAGTGCTTGGAAATAAGTCTTTCTTTCCACATTAATAGTCTAGATATGATGAAAATCCTACAAGGATTTCTAAGCAAAAGAAAGAAAACAAATGATCAAGCAAAAAGCTCTATGCATATTTTAAAAAAAACCCAAAGGGATACTTGTAATTTTAAAGCTGAGTATTTAGCACATAAGATTGTTTTCTAATGGTTCAGCTACAGAACCTATGTATGGTTATTATCCCCTGATCTTACCAATGCATGTGTAAGTAACTTCACTCAATGTACATAGAGCACAGGGATGTAAGCGTTCCCTACAGAAAGCAAGATGATTAGGTTTACTTATATCTGATTAAAATTCTAACAATAAGATATACAGTGAGTATTCAAGCAGACCTTCCAAATCTAAAATTTTGCAAGCTTGCATGTCTTTTTTTCCACCAGCCTGTTGGGCTACATAGATATGAGAAGTGCTGGACATACCTAGTAACTTGCAATATCAGGGCACAGAATGACAGGCTACGAGAAGCAGGGCTTGATCCTGTTCATTTTGAAGCCAGGAATGTATTTACCGAGATTAATGCTGCAGGATCAATATAACAATGTTTAACGATATAAATGTTTTGGAAAAAAATGGAAAGGGCAAACAAAGAGATGCTGGCAGGAAGAAAAATTGTATAGAAGGGAGTTCGAAAGAACTACAGAGGAAAAATTATGTGCCTGAAAGGATGTTATGCTCTTGTATATAAATCAGGATAACACATTTTGATAATGATATTCAATATGTGTTGGCAGTTTCATTTAAGGGGTTTCTTTGCAGAGGTTTAATTTAATGGTCAGACTTTCATCATTAACAGGTGCCTATAAGCTAAAATATTGCAGATAATGCCAAATTCAGAAAGAAAAAAAGAATTCAAGTCTCTGATTAATACTAAGCCCTGATCCTGCTTAGTTTCACCACAGTACGAAGCTTCAGCAGCGGCACGTACTCTTGTCTTTTAAGACAGGCCTCAGCGATGCCACCGTGGGCAGCTGTCGCGTGGTCACTGGACACACTGCTTGCCTGCAGGAGCCCCAGCTTGGCATGGGAGAGTACACGGGGTTCCCCTGGAGATACAGAACAGACCCCAGATGCACTCAATGGTTTAAGAGCTCATTCGAGGGCACACTTACCTGGTGTATGAATAGGCTTTGGCACTTGAATCAGTCCGGACATATCCATCTATCTTAGTCCAGTAGCAGTGACATCATCTGGCAGAAACTGGGCAGAAAAGAGTCCTAACGTCCTTCTTAGAAGGCCGCCAAGGATAATATAGATGTCAAATGCACGCTGCAAGGATGCCTGGACTCTGCAGTGCTTATGGGAGAAGCTGGGGTGCACTGGGGACATAGCTACTGAAATCAGTTGTATTAGTGACAATAGCAAAGGGTCTGAGCAAATTAGATCTGATTTTCTGTTTTTATAACTCAAATCAATAGTAGGGGCTACCAGCATCATTTGAGACAGCAACAAAGTGTTTTCCAAAGATAAGCAAATGAATGTAATCTTCATAATAACTGGGAATAAAGTCCACAAAACCATATAATGACTATCTAGTTTATGTTTAAAACTAATCAAAGTGGTTATTATTACTGAAAAGTAATGCTACCAAAATCTTTGATATTTTACCATAATTTTGAGCCTCCAAGAGTTTAATCTTTGAATAGCCCTAACAAGAGAGTAAAAAGTATTACAACTTTTTATTTTCATATATTATGTATCTATAATATATGTAAATAAAAATGAGTTAGGAGATTGTACTATTCCTTACACATCCCGTTATGTGCAGCTACCATCACAACGAGCCCATTAACTACGCTTCATTATCACAAGTTAATGAAAAAAATCTCCTTGCAAGATTTCATGGACATACCACATCTCAGAACTGCTCCTCCTATGTACACGGCTCTTCTATATGCAAAGTCCAAGGAGAGGATTTTGCTTTTTGTCTGTGGCACCAATTTTTGTTCAGCCCGCGTTGCTGATCATCAGTCTTTTGATCACTACACAACCGAAAATTTTTTTCTTGGAGGAGCTGGAACTCATTAGGAACTAAATGTACCATCATCTTGGTTTTAGAGCTTTGCCTGAAGAGACATGGGATTGCTTCCAGAAGCATTTCCTTTAAGACCATATGCCTCTTCTCCATTCTGTCTCCAGTTTTCACGTCTAATAGGCTGACCTCCTTATCAAATGGCCCAGACCTTTGTTCCTCTTCTGTTCATGGCAATAGGTAAGACCCTCACGAGGCTAGTAGTCATAAAAAGTTTACCCCATCATTTTGGCTCAAAAAAAAAAAAGAAGATTGCTTAATGGAAAGTTTTGGGGGAATTCATTCTGCTAGATGTGGTGAAAAATATACACCCAAGTAGCAGGGTGATCTGATTTTCTGAATGGGCTTGGGAAATACTGTTTATAATTAGGACCATAGATTGTTACAATTCAGTAGAGAATCACTGAAAATGGGAAACATAATAGTAAATTGTTAGAAAATGTTTTGGTGATAAGGACTGTATTTCCACTAACTACCACCCCTACAGAAGAACATGCTAAATAGAAAACACATTTCCAAGGGCAGAAGAAGCCCTGACACTTTATTGCTAGATTCTGTAGCAATTGGAGCTCACTTACAGTAACCTTATAGTACTCTATATAAACTGAGAAGCTTGTATCAAATTCAGACTTCCATTTAAAATAGATATTGCAGATATTAGGCTTCAATTAAAGAAGAAAAATAACCTTCAGTGCTTCTTTCTTTAAAGGCAAAGTACTAAAAAAAAATCACCAAACTAGGTGAAAATTATTAAATTTCTCCAAAAAATTAAGATGAGCTTTCTTCTATTTCTTGAGACAGTACAGTTTGTGATTCACAGGGTAACTGGTATCAAATACAAGTTAATGAAAGCTCTTATAAGCAATTTTATTCCTATCCATAATGGCAGACATTTACAAAATCAGAAGAATTTATCATTTGTGTTCACCTTAAAAAATAACTTATAAAGCAGTGATATATGCAACAGAAAACAGTTCAGGAGGGGAGAGGGAAAGAAAATTTTAATAATTAAAATGTAAACGTGAAAAAAAAAAAGATGGAATAAAAGTCCCTACTTCTCATTTCTACTTAAGATGTCATGTGATAATATTTTACAATGTCCTGTGGGTCTATATATGTATGTGTGTATTTCTATATCACACACACATACATATACATTAACCCACGCATGTACATACACAGATAATTGTTTGCAGTTCCATCTTGGGCAGTTCTCTTACGCCACAGTTGTCTCAATCATGTTTGGGACCCACTTTCTTGACAAAATGGGGGAGATGGTAGAAAAAAAAATGGTGGGTCTGATTGTGTCTGAGATCCTTTTGTTAAACTGTACACTGGGATGAAAATTTTCTTCTGCAGTAGCTCTCTGAAGAGGGCCAACTCACTGTGGTCTTCATCGTGAGACTTGTTAATGGATCACACACTCATCGTCATGCTAGGGGAGTACTGAAAAAAGAGGAATCCATATTTTAACAACCATTTCCCCCCCAGGTAACTAAAACCACTTCTGGACCACAGCAATGAGTTCAAAGGTCAACACGCTCTTTGAACTTCCTGCTAAATTTGTACTGTAGCCTGTGCTGAGGCTGTAGTTAAATTTGTGGCATGGTATCTTCCATTACGCTTTTTTCATTATGCAAAAATACAGCTATTGCTGTTAAAGTCAACTCCCTTGAAGACTGTTTGTGTTACCTGGGTGGTGTGATGAACCAATACTTCACTGATGCTTTCCACACCTTTTCCTGGTCAATGTTGGTTACTGGGGGGATTTAGCTAGGCAAATGGCTAGTCTCAAGAAGAACAGCTGCATTCACAGTTAGCTGAACCACATAAATATTTTGGAGAGTTTTTTACTACTTTATGGGATGAAAGAAGTAAAGATATGCACGACTGGAATGAAACTACGCTTTTGGTCTGTATTATTCTGTATTATCGATTTTAGGAGGCAAGCTGAATCAAGGATCAGTGGTCACTCTCCTTTATGTGAACCAAAAATTCAATCACATTACATTATTATTGTAACACAAATTGAACTGCAGCCCTTATACAAGCTATGGCTGCCCTCAGGTTAGCAGTACTTCATTACAACAATCAACGGGACACCACAATACCTAGAAGAAGTGCACATTTGTATGCCTAATTTGTTTTTGAATTGAACATTGCGGACTGCAGAAACACTTAATTTCTCCTGAAACCTTCTAAGTAGAGGAAAATGTTCAAATACAAGAAGTACTAGCATTATAAAAACTGATACAACAAACAGAAAGATAAATTTGCCTTTGCAAAAACATATGCAATAAAAATCCTGCCAAAGCTAGAGTTTCAAGCTGGTCATTTCCACTTGTCCAAGCATATTATAAAAAGCATTTTGGATGGGTCTTCCCTGTCACGTAAACCACACAGAATGGACTGTTTGGGAGAAGTCTATTTTGTCCCTTGTCACGTCTCTGATGGTTTGTCTGCTTTAGGGCTTACTCCCATCGTGTCCTGCTGAGCACTCCCACAGTGGGTCCGCAAAGCTAGTAAAATCACGCTTATCTTTAGACAAAGCCAGAGACCAGCTCAAATGCTTACAGCAAAGCATCTGTTCAAGTGATTTCCTGTACCTGAGCCAAAGTACCTGGGTAATAATCACTTTGGACAAGGAATCAAAAGATGATCTAAAGGTGTTTGTGATTTTTAACTTCTTGTTAGCCAAGCACTGCTCCCCACCCTCAACAGAAACTCCTGGTGAACTGAACAGCAAATCTGCCTGAGAAAGGACTTCATAATAACGCCTACTCTAAGTAGCCAAGTAACGAAATACAAATTGGAAAGCAAGACAGTTCCCAAGGCCCACAATGTGTCTTGTGTTAGAGAGGAACCGATACCTAGTAGACTAGAATGCACGTGGCATGTATAATGCATGCCTTGTAGGCATACATCTCACGTAAAACCTTGAGAAACCTGAGTCCCAGGTTTTTCCAAAAAACCTCAAAATCTGATTCTCATGAAATTTGCCATGCAATTCAACTGTTTTGTGATCTAGCAGAAACTGTTTACTCGTGATAACTTCTGAGCTGAAGTTCACCACTGGCATAGTTAATGAAGTTGCACTCACTTCTGGCAGCAGTGATTTCCAATAAGAATAGAAGTGTTGAAGTCACTTCTGAAAAATCAGGCCACTCTTATTTAGGAACCTAAATGTGGATTTAGAAACCCAGCTTCAGGCACACGAGCAGGAAAATACTTTAGTCTTGCTTTGTAATGTACTTTACACCACATTTTGCTGCCTCAAGCATTCTCCATTTTAAACAAGAACCATTTGTCCCAGAACCAACACTAGAGGGAACCTTTGCTTTTTCTGGCTCTAATACCATACTGCATCTTTGCGACATGAGATCTGCTGCTGCTCTAATCATATAGTTCAGTGTAAATCCTGTGCTAAAAGACATTCCTTGCAAAACACATCGTTTAGGAGCCAAAGGTTGGGCAACCACACATTGAAACACTCAGATGTAAGGATCTGTCAACTATGTGTGTTTAGGCTGCTTGGATATTGCCTGACAAATGCCCGTTGCGCATTACTGAATACGTGCGGCGTAATTATTACTACTTGACAGACCTAACTTTCATTGATAACTGACTTCTTAATCTAGAAAAAGAATTTCTGCAATAAATCTACACGTCTCACATTTTCCAGTTTCAGCTCAACTTCTAGCAGTCTTGCATAATTTTCTGTCAAATTATTACTGTAATTTTAGATGCTAGTAAAAGACATGTATGGTACAGTACTGCATTACAAGTACACTACAAAACTGTTTGTTCTTGCTGTTATTTTTCTTTTTTTAAACAAAATGACAGAGATAAGGGCTTACAAAGTAAAATAAAAACCAAAACCCTAGGTAAAGAAATACTTACGCTCTCACTCTGGAAAGGGTTTAGGAAGTTTCCACCCATCTCACCGTCATCTCTGGGAGTGCCAGGCTGATTACTCATGCTCATATTACTGGGAGAGTTCTGTTAAATGAAATTTTAAAATACAGCTCAAGTGTTGAAGATTTCAGTTAATTTCCCAGCTTCACCAAGTGTGTCAAAGGCACACTTTACACAATACTGTAGTGCACTAAGATGCCCTGTGCAATGCACTGGGATTTTGAAAGATGAAAAATAAGCCTCCGCAGGGTTCTGCATGATTCAGTCACTAATTTTAGCCTGTAAAGTAATGTTTTCTTTCCTGAGGCAAGAATTATTTACCTGTAACTTCTGTTGTCAGGTTATAACCAGCATCTTCTCCTAATGAAGTTGGCAAAAGCTATAAATGGTTGTAGCAGGTATACAAGGTAGCTCTGTCACTACATTAAATCATGTCATGGTCAAATTCAGTGAAGTCTGTGAGCATGTGCCTTGACCTATGTGACTTATGAATATGTACTTAAAGGTAGACATATGGATGTATCTGGTCTACACAGACCTTTGCAAAGGCCTGTGCCTGCGGTCTTTGGTTATAGTGTTCACCATTTACTGAAATACAGTTTTGCAAGTAGTTCACAAGTGTGATTTCAAGTGGCAAACCACTTCACTGAGTACAGCTAAAACACAGCATTTATAGGTAAAAGAATTAACAAGAGTTTTAGATGAAAGACTTCTGAGTAACATCTGGCCCCTGGACTGAGCTCACAAACACTTTCAGGAGGAGCCGTACTTCTCCTATTTGCTTGCACAGAGCATAATGCAACAGCGTTTAAATCTACCTTTTCAGTGTCTAGGTGTAACTGAAATGCTAATAAGTAATAACAATATAAAGGCTTCTGAAGATAAACTCATTTTTTTTACAGAAGTGCACAAGCACCTCTGCTTTCAAGATTAATTTACTCAAAGAAAGGGTGAAACAAGGTAATTGTCACAGAAATTATTCTGAGTCAACAGCTAGTACATGATTATTGTATATACTACAATTAGTCAGGTGTTTTTACAAAGTTGATTTGTGGTACCCTACCATGCCTGGAGCATGGGCAATTCTCTTTCTATTACTGTTAAGACTCCTATTTATAGAGGATTTGTGACGGAAAAGGAGCAGCCAGGGAAAGGGAGGAGAGAAGGCATGAGCTTCATTATGAAATGTTTACGTCTATCACAGCTCTTCCCTTGTTTTTTGTTTTTGGTTTTGTTTTTTTGATCCAGAAAAACTGAATGCAATACTGCTGTTGAGATTTTACTTATACAAATGCAAACCTGGTATGTCACAATAAATTTATCACAAACCTAGTGAAGACAATGGGCAAGCTAACAAAAGGTAACTTCAACTAATGTTTGATCAAAGCAACCAAATCATAATAGATATAAGAATTCTAAGTGAACTTGTCCTCTTTTTCTTATGTTATTCTCAATTACAATCCTGACACAGAATGTCTGTTACCATAGAGAGTTTTTCTTAAAAAAAAACAGGTATTTTGCCCTTTGAAAATACCTGCATGGAGTTTTCATTTAGTATAACTAAATCTGCAATAGGTCAAACTTTGAATGAAAAATTAGAAATACTAAAAAAAGAGAAAGTCCTCTTAATTCTTGGCACTTTCTTCAGAACTACAAAGGCTATCTATCCTACCCTGGCACTTTAAAGATGTACACTGGAGTGTTCACTGAACAGAAAATGGGAAGGGATAGCTACGACTTCTACTTCCCCTTCATACCATATTCCTACATGCTTCTCTTTGCAATCATGAAGGCTCATGTTGACCACTGTCCATAATTTAAATATTGCAACATATTTCACTATTCCACAGATTTACTTAACCTCCAAGGAGAACAAAAAGTGTTGTTTTCAGCTTCACCAAATACCAAAATTTAAATCAGTTACTTTTTGCTACTACATTAGCAGACTGGTACACCTGACTGCTGTACATACTGTTCTCTTTGTAATGTATTTTGTGTGCTTAGTGAAATGCTGCTATTAAGTTTTCACCTTATTTCCCCGAGGGAAGATCACCGTTCTCAGTCTGAATGTCCAAGTATGTACATTGGTTCAGCTTGGTGTATTTATTTTCAGTTATAGATTAAATATAAAATTAATTACATAAGCGACATGGAAGCCTAACTTTTTTATTACCATCTGAAATGCAGCTTACAGAGTTGGGTCAAAACCTCTGCCTTAGCCCTTTTGCTTTCTTCAGTCTAGTTCACTGCTTCTGAATCTGTGATCCCCAGATCTCCAGGAATCACTGGATAACACATCCATCAAAGACAACTAAAAGCCTAACTAGTTGAATAACAGACAATTAAGTCTGCTATTCAGTTAAGTTAGTATAGCAAATATTTAGGAATCCACAGCTTGAAAAAGGTTGAAAACTACCGCGTTAGTTCAACCACTGCTCAAGCGGGAATTATTTCAGGGAAGTCCTGTTGCCTGTGTTATGCAGAAGGTCATACTACACAATCATATCAGTCCCTTCTGGCTTTAAAATCTATGAATATAAAGTTTAAAACTCACTAAGGCCTTGTCACATTTATTTTATATGATGCTCCCTCACTTTTGTTCATTCCTGGGAGATTTACCCCTATTTTATCTTGCTCTATGTAGCACAAAGCTTTGAAATTCTGCAATCGCTACAGTATGCCAGCCCCAAAGGTTCAAATTCCTGACATAAACACTTTTATATCAACTCCCCTAGGCTGCTTTTATGGCTGGTGCGGGGTCTAGCATTGTAGCACTAGCTGAGTTTTTCCAAAGCAAGCATGTGCTTGATGCCTGCACAAATTCCATGGGCACTGCAAGAAATGCTGGTTATTAATGTTTATTTAATATGCGTAATTTCAGTTCACTTACTTCCCCCATGTCAAGCTACTTCATAAAAACTTCATTTTTTGCCATTCAGTTAATTAAATTAAAAATCTTCTCTAGAAAATGTAGCTCTGAATTCTGTGAACTGTACTGTTTCTACTGAGACTGGATTAATTTTCTGTATCTCCTGGCAACTGATCATCTGCTCCTCTAATATGAACTTTACTCCACTGAAGTCCTGTGCCTGGACTTCAGCATCACACATCCCAAATTGTGTTAACTTCAGTGAAAAATTTCCATCCCTGGAAATCTACTTGTGAAAAAGCCAACCACAAGACTAGCTGGTGATGTATGCAGGGAGACTGTTGCCTCAGCAAGCAAAATCCTGGTAACTGTGTACAACATTGGAAGGCAGCCACATAATAATTTTGCATGTGTCGACCCCAGAATCTACTATTCCTTGCAAGCAGAACTTTTCCATTTGAGTTTCAAAAGTGTTATGTACTACTACCTACCTGAAATTACAAATGCTACCCACATACTTTTACTACTATCAATGAACGCTGCACATTGGGCAGTGCTACTCAGAAAAAGATATGGCGATGTAAAAGGACAACTCTGTTACTTCAAAAGTTAGCAGCATTTTTCTTTTAGTTTTTTGAAAAAGATATACATAAAATGTGATTTCCGTGTTAGTTATTAAGGTTAACAAATTACAACACTTGTATTAGCACACATACTGATACTTAATACCAGTGCATTGAATAGAGGCTTTTAAAACTAATCCCATGGCAAACTAATGGAAATGTTTTGGGGTTTTTTCCTTAAAAAAACGCTGCAGTTTGCAATAAAAATGCTGAAAAAAAATATGGACATTAATTTAAAAAGGGTTGTACGCTTATGGTCTCGTTGGAGGCTTTTATTGAATCCATCACTGCACATCTAAGCACAGTGCAACTAAGGCAACATGGTCATTTCAATCCATCACTTTACTCTTTGCAGAGCCTGAAAATGTTATAGATCTTAAAAAGGTACAAAAATGTAAGATTGCTACAGACGCTGCTCCCTCACAGGAGGATCATTGGCCTTGGACACATATTGCCAAGGTCCTTCTCTCCAGGAAAGATAGACACTAAGCGCACTTTACAGGCTACCCCTCTCCCGTACCACACCACCAGAAGACCACAAACTGGGAAACCGTACGGGGTCCTCCTCATCCTCTATGGATATAAAAATATTTATCACTAAGTGAAGAATGATTCCTGCCTTTTGAACACCTGGAAGTATATTCTCAACAAATTCACACTACAAACTTCTGTGTTAACCCATAGGAATTTAGCTGAGCATTTTGTTCTCTACATGTGGGCATCTCGTCATAGCTCCTGAGAACAGACCTACAGCAAGGTCCCTAGCGTGACCAGAGCATGTGCAGACCAGCCTTAGACACACTTCAAATGGCAAAGTCTGCACTGGGACAGCACCGTGGTACTTGATCCTGGGGCAACCAAAATGCACGGGCAGTTGATAGGCTCAAAACAAACTTATATTTCTTTCTTGGAAGACTGTTAAGAATTTTGCTACAAACAAATGGGTTACAAAATTTTAACGGAAACAATCTCTTAATTGGTTTCTGTATTTATAGATCAAAAGTATGAAAGTGCAGGGAGATTGTTGTAGTGATATATTTATTAGTTTCAGCCAGTTACATCTGCAGACACTGAGTGCAAAACAGTGTTTTGCAGGTGACAGATTTATGCCACTTTGTCAATATCAAATAAACTCATTAATTTCTAAATTAATGATGATCACATATGTAGTAGCTTTATTTTTATGGAAGAAGTGACACATTCAAGCACAATATTATTTTCATAGATGCAAACCCCCTGAAGGTTAAACTCTCATTCATTTCCAACTATTTAATGGTTGTGATACCAACACAGTGCTGCTTCTGAAACTAATTCCTATTTAGCTTTTAGGAACTTGTACTAATGATTAAGATATTAACATTGGGTTACAGAGATGACAAAAGCAATCATGCAGTGCATAAACGTAACATCCTAATGACATTTTCCCAAATTAACATTTAACTAGAACTGATTATTAGAACTGTATTCATTTGTCTTAAAATATGGAAGATTGTAACATGATCAATCATATTATGAACTTGATATAATTAATCACATTCATTAATACACATTATTATGCAGTAGGAAATAAGTCTACTTATACTCCCTATTGATTATATTGTTTTTAAATTTTCGATTAATATTAATTCTGTCTGCACAGCCTCCAAAGAGTTGACAAACAGAAAATGTAGATACGTAACAAAAAGCTTCATAACAGAGACAAAGAAAATATGTTTACAGTGAAACATTTGAAAAATTCCAAATATTTGATTAGATACTCACTTTGGAAATACTGTCCATGTCTCCTGAGCCTTAAATCAAAACAGACAATTATTCGGTTAGTTTTGAGCTAAAGTTAATCAAGAATTTTTTTTCATAGTAAATATATAGTGTAACAGCAATATTTTAAAACATAACCAACCATACGTTACCTCACTTCCTTCCCAATGTCTCTCTTAGTAACAGTTTATAGTCAGTACTGAATAATGTTAGTCCTTTCTCTGTGTACATACCCAGTGCAAAAAATGACAAAAGAATGAAGGACACACTTCTGATCTGTATCAGTTATTTGGATGGCATCCTTTCAGGATGAGACAGCCCAGCACAACTCAAAAAACTGTATGTCCAACCTTCCCGTCCTCTTAGCCATGGTAGGGTACAGGTAACAGAATTAATTTGGGGTATATCCACCCAAGGGAAATGTGGCTTCAGCTTGAGGAAAAAAAAGCAAAATCACGGCTAACTAGTAAAAGTTGATGTTCCTGGGGAAAAAAAAGACCACTATTATCACTAAGGTCAGCTGGGAGGGTTTCATCAATGTTTTTTGCTCCCACAAGCAGAAGCCCACTACTGAAATTGGCTGAAATGACATCGACTTTCGATGTATTACAAATACTGATGATGACAGCACCTTTCAAAAGAAAGCAGATGATCCTGTGGACCAGAGTAACAGAAACCAAATAAAATTAAATATAATGAGTGTAAGACTATTGAAAAGAACTTTTTTTCACATGCTGCAGCTCTCACTCGGGTAAAGCCAAGAATAAAGGAAATATAACTTTAGGAGATGGAAATATCAAGAAAAGCATTTTTAACAGAAACAGACAGTAAACAATTCTGGTCACCTATTTTCAGGAAAGACAAATTCTAGAGGAGTGGTGATTACAAAACTAAAAGAGTATCAGAGAAAAACAATCAAGAAAATGGAGTTGTGGGAGGAGACTGAAATAGCTTACTATACCTAGCCAGGCAAATTAAGGCTGAAGAAGCAATATGATTTCTCTCTATAAATACATCAGATAGATACATAAATGTTATGAAGAGTTATTTTGTCATGGCTCAAAGGATAAATTTTGGTGGAAATCAGGAAAAGATTTCTTTTGAACCATCAAAGCTATGAACAGATATCCAATAGAAGCGTTGTGGTCAAAGAAGCTGGAGAAGTTCTCAATGGAACTGGAACAATTTATCCATCTGATTATGAGACACAGCTGCCTACCGCAGCATGAAAATGAATGCAGCAGGTCTCTCCCAGCCCTCCTCTCCTCAAAGAACTCGGGTTCCAGTTTAGATATGAAGTCATCCCTAGAAAGCAGTCATCATTAATTTAACTAAGCACTTCATTACTTTCCCTAGAGAAAATAACTAACCAAATGCTAGGTACATGAAAAATGCTTCTATAACTGTTTCAATTTAATTTTTTCTTTTAGCTAAGAAATAACTCTCAGGTTATAGAAAGTGACAGAAAAAGACGTGATTACCTTTTACACAGTTTTTCAATTATTTGAATGTAATGTGCATCATTACTAATTAAAGCAACAATCCATTTTAGGATTTTAATATGTAAAGAAAGGCTGTAAAATCACAAGGTGTCCTTACGCAAAGTAATCTAGGAATTTCAGGGACACGGTTTCCTAGAAAAAAGGGTAACTCTGTTAGGAGAGAGATGCCTACTGCTGAATTTTAATTGTTCAGAATGTGTCTGCTAAATGAGGTTTGATGGCTTAGTTTTTTTCTTATCTTGTCATAGCCCCTTTGAATTTCTCCCTTCATCTTACCTGTTCATACTTCCTGTCTCACAGCCTCCAGCCTTTGGGCTGTGAGTGATAGATTTCCACCCACCATGGTAGTATGGACTTAAGTGGTATGGAGTTTAGGTTGGTCTGTGCCTGTGCCGGGAAAGTGATAGAGCTTCTCTTTGGGGATAGACGCAAGGGGAACACTGGCAGTTTGGCTTCTGCTTGGCTGACCTGTATCTAGCTTGCTTGGGTTTCTCTCCATGAAGGAAAACACTGCTCAGCATGGTGTTGCTGGTGCCCTTGGTGGCCATCAGGGCAGCTCCCAGATGCAAAAGAGAACCTTGCTGGTGGACCAGGGGGATAGAAGAAGAAAGAGATCTCAAGTCTTTGCAGCCTGAGGCACTCCCTGTTGTTGCCTGCATGACCGGTACCCCTTGGTGCAGACAGAAGTGAAGAGCACAACACAAGAACTGTAATCAGAGCTATGGGCTTGGTGTTAGGGAATGAGCAGAAATAAAAGGTATTTATTTACCTTGTGGGTATGGAAGAGAAAGGCATAAATGCAATTTATTTAGCTGTGGCTTGTTTCTTAAATCCCTTTCAAGTGTTTGTCATGCTTCCAGCAAAAGAGTAAGAGCAAAGAGTTTGTTAGAATAGCCAGGAGACAAATGCAGTGTGTATTTTGCAGAGTTGTGCAAGGCTTCTCCCCTTGATATGACTCCTTCAAAAATCAGTTTCAAAAGTCAAGCAGTACACTGTTCCTCCTGCCTCTGCATGCCCTGACAAGAATTCATGTTCTTTTGAGTGCATTAAAATTGGCACCTGTCTGAAGCTGCTAATGGGGATGGAGTTAATAGTACTCACACTTAACAGACATATGGCTAAGTATAGAACAAATGAGGTTATCAAAATGTTGGGATAAAACCAGCTTAACACATACATCAAAGTATGTTATAACTTACTTCCAGGTAATTTATAAGAATGTGCACCACCATGTCACAATGACACCTTCCCAAGATTTTCGAAGAGGAAAAGAGGTAAACAAAAATAGTTCTTAAGCATTCACCTCTACATTACTGCGATGGTATGCTTTTAGGCTGTTTTTCCTCAACTGGATTAAAGATATAGTCTCTTATAGAAATAAAATACAGCAGTTTTCTTCAAGAGGTCCATGATGTATGCCAATTCATATGCCTAAAAAATACCTTAATACTTCTTGTTGTACATACATATTTTTCAGTTTTTTAAAAGATTTTTACATGCAATCTTCCACATAACTCAGAGAACTAGTAATAGAAAATGGCACTAGTCATTGAAAATGCACAATGTTGATAGTATTTACTATCATTACCTAATGATCCATTCATATGATGTGAATCCATTCCACCCAGTCCACTCATAGGTCCTTCTGACCCTGGTCCCATTGGAAACTACAAAAGGATCAGACATTAAAAACTGGTATTACTGTACAATTTTTTGTAGATAATCTAATAAAAAGATAATATTCCTCAGGAAAAAAAAAAAAAGTAATGGAAAAATGCACATTCCCAGCTCTGAATGTGCAAGTCAAGTGAAAGTCCTTCACGTGAAGACTGCAAAAACATCATTGCTTTTGTGCACTTTTTCCAATACCACCTTCATGATTTTTGGAAACTCTTATCTCTGTAGGATGGAATATAACTTAGGAATAATTTATTATTTACTTCAACACTTTGTATACGACTTTCAAATCTGCTAGTGCTGACCTAGCTCTACTCCCACTGAAGTTACAGTGAACTTTATGATTCTCTTCAATGAGTAAGTGATTAACAGCTTTCAAACCCCTCCTTATCCATACAGTTGGACTACCCCGCCCCTGCATTACCTTTGCAGCATGAGCAGTTTCTGTTCAATTTCACATATTAACCTTAAATTTAGTTATTCAAAAACTTAAACACATTAATATTATAGAAAAATTCCTAAAATTCACTGCATAATGATTTAGCAATATCTAAATATCTTTATTTTTAAGTTCTACTGGCCTTTTTTTCAAAAGGCCCGTAATATGGATCATGATTAAATGAAATATGGTTGTAATCATAGAAATACAAAAAACCTGAAGGCATAGAGAAAGATCAGAGAAGAAACAAGTTCTACCTAAGAATCCAGATTTTTGTCAGCTCTAAAACTGCTGAAATTTAGGCTAAAATAGTCTAGTTAACTAGTTTATTAGGCAAATATTTAAATGTTATCAACAGGTTTCATTCTTAACATCCCATTTAGATAAACAGGGAAGGTTGTTTCTTCTCAGAGGCATTAATTTTATCCTTTTTTACAGAACATAACGTAACGTAATAGGGCAACATAACACTGGGTCACTTTCAGCAATTTTCTCCTCCCTTGCTAAGAGTAGATACTTTCTTATAACAAAAGTTTGAATCCTGCAGAAACTGACGCTCAGTGGGAGCTCCTAGGATGATGTCTTATCACACAAAAGTCTATTGCACTGCAGTGTGACAAACCAAGTAACCCCCAAGACCCACAAGCAGAACCTTCTAAGGTCTTTTCCATGTTCAAGTGTATGCTCCAATCATTGTTTTGCATGTACTGGCATGACTGATTTGGGAAACATTAAAAAGTACATGGTGGGGTGGAAAGAAACTGAAGTGTCACCCATAAAAATGGAAAACTTAGTATTAATGATATGTGATGGAAACACAGTGTTTGGATAAAAAAAGGCTGTGTAATTCAAAGAAGTATATAACTAGTTTCATATTTACATTAGGTCTGTTGGGTCCAGGTGGTACTGCATTCATTAAAGTGTACATGTTGTCTCCAGAGTTGGTTGAATCTGTAATAAGAGATTATTTTAAGTGCTAATATATACCTTTCAATAAAACTACTCCCCTAATACATTTCCTGTCATTCTGTTCATATTATTTCTGTGCCTGAAACATTGATACACAGTGGCAATATAAGGGAAAATTTCATTCCCTTTCTACCTATTGCCACCACACAACAGAGCTATGAAAAGAAATAATTGCAATCGTCCCTTAGTGACTACTTCTAGACTCTAGTTTCATGTGTGACTGTTAAAAGGTTTATAAATCACCAGGTATCTGTAACTATTTATATTTCATAAACCCTTTTTCCTGGAATTTCAATTACTTCACTCATCTTCAATAGGTTTTTTTCTTATCAATACTTCCTGTAATTTGTTTTCTATCTGTAATAAATGATAAATAGCTTCTCGTTATATGGACTGCAAGTTTGTATAGCACATGAAAATTTTTTACTCTCATCCATGTCAGTCTATTTGATTTTGGATACACCTAACTATTCAGTAGAACGTTGTGCAAAGATCCTCACTCTAAAGACAGCTTTAGCTGATGTATCTTCATGGTACAGTGTGGCGCAATGCTTCAAAAAAACCCTGAGTCCAAAACCAAGAAAATCGTCCTTGCACAGCATGGTGCTTAAGCTAATAAATTCTGCCAAGTGTTTCACTTGGCCTTGCCAGATTTTTACACAGCTATATGGCATCTCAGTCCTTTTCCTGCAATCAATGCACATGAATTTTCATATGGGGCACCTCCAGAATTGAAATGCAGGAGTCAACCCAGATAACTCTTCTAGTTGAACTTAAGAAACCAATGCCTAAGAAAAATTAGTAGATACAAATTATTCATTCTGATCTCCAGCTTATCCCCACTGCTAACATATGCGAAGTCTTAATACCTTTCATCAATATTTGTATGAAAGAGAAGGCAAAAAATGCAGCAGACAGTAGACAAATCAGGTAAAAACCTTTCCCAAGGGAACCTGACAAGAGATAGGCCATGCAATGAAAAGGTTTAAAGAGAGGAGAATGACCTAAGGAAAGTCTAAATACATCCTTAAGGGGACAGCACAATTTAAAAAAATATTGGCAACTCTGGAAAATCAGTACCTCTACAGTATCTGCAAAAAGAATAAAGAATAGCTTAGTACTCTGTACCTAGATCCTCCAAAAGACCATTCCAGCTCTTTGAACCAAAGTTTTGAGACTAACAACACACACAAAAACAACTGCTGAGCTGAAATTCCTTTTCCAAGACCAGGTGATTGGGGAATTTTGAGTCAGAAGCAGCAAAAGTGAGAAAGCCAAGATCACTGGAATGCGTTGGAACTGGGAATGCAGCCTGACCTGCTGCAAGAATGTATTTGTATGTACACTGGGAAGTTAAAATCAAGGTTTTTGCTATTCCTTACTCCTTCTGAGACAGTTTTCTAAGCATTAATTCACCTTGGTGAGTACAATGAGGTAGGCAAAAAGTTCTTCAACCACCAGATCCTTTTGCAACACACATCCCTGGCTCTCCCCATGTTCTGCTGGCTCATTTAAAAATACACATGGGCTGGCTGGGCCATGAGAACCCTTGGAGCTGGTTTGTCTCACAGGCAAGTAAACATCATTGCAAAATTCTCAGATGGCCAATTTCCAAGTGTTTTCATACTTCGGAGTATGAAAAATCCTCCATCCTCCATCCTCAAAACATCTCTGAATCTCTAATTGAAAATGGGAACAGCTGTCAGCAGACAGCCTAACATGTCCCATAACTGCAGTGCTGACTATTTTTAAAAGTGCAGGCTGTCCATAAGTTTGCTTTATGTTAAGAGAGACTCTAACTTTTAAATGACAGCTTGCGCTACTTGTCTTTTTTACTAATGATATGAACAAGGAAGCCTTATGTTTTCTCTTAGGTTGCATTTTTTCAAATCCCTGGAATTGTATTTAATGAAGGTATTATATTGGTGTGAGAAATCTTCATGGCCAGTTGTGAAACTTCCCTACCCTTTTGTGCTACTGAAGACAGCAAGAACATGTAGGATATAAGGACTGAGGATGCTGTAACATCACTGCGGTGAACAGGTCCTTGTTAGCTGGTGAAAGTGAGTTACAAAGGCAGATATTGACCAAAAGGAGTAGCTATTAAATACTGGGTTACACAAGATGTAATCAGTTTCATTTTAGCAGATTTCTGATGATGTTCTTGGGAGAGGACAGCATCTTTCACACCCTGGAGTTCCACCTTCATATCAGAATCTTTGCAGAACATCAATGGAGGGAAATACTTAGATCTAGTTGATCATCTTTCAGCCTTGATAAGCTAGCTAGCCATCCTGAATCCTCCCATCCTCCTCCTTGTTTCCTCAAATCTTAGTGGGAACATGGCCAATCTTTCGCATGGCCAAAATCTCCATGTGGTCCGAGTTGCAAGATACAGACCATGTTACTTAGGGTAACAATGGGGCAGTTGGAGTTCTGGGAACAGATCACCAGTAGGACATGACGATGGTTCCTCTGGGGCCTTACTCCTCCATAGCAAGACAGGAGAGCAACCTGTCCAGCATGACCCTGTTGTCAGTCAGATGACAGAACTGCGGGATGCAGCACATTGCTCGAGCCATGTGTTGGTCAGGTCCATCCCCTAGGATACTACAGGGAAGTTTCATCAGATTTGGAAATCTCCTGATTTCCAAACTGGTGGAATTACCCCAAAGAATATTAGCAAAAGCAAACAAAGACTTTGTCTTTTGTTTTTAACTTGCTATTGCCAAAATTGTGCAAGAAAGGAAGGGCTTATAAGCCAGAGAAATTAATTGCTTTGTATCTCTGCAACACAGTAGGGAGACAAAGAGAGCGAAAGCACAGGAAAAAACTGATACAGAAAGTATAAACCCAGTAATTTATCATTATCTGATTCTTTATCAAAATCAAAGTCTGAAAAATAATTTGTGTACTTCCTAAAATGCCTTATAACTGATCTTTTATTTTTTCCAAGTATATTTCAGTACCTGCAGGACTAGGCATGATAGGTGTTCCTGGTGGCCCTCCACCTCCCGGAGGACCCTAGAGAGAGTAGAAAATGTCAGTTAGCATGAAAGGAAAAAAATACCACAGTAAAAAATGAACACAGTACAAATGAAAAAAAAAGTATCATGAATGTCATGAGTTACTTTGGTAAAAACATGCACATTTTCTGATAAGCTAGTGAAACAGCTCACCACAGATTAAGACAAAGTAATTGGTCAGCAAGCTCTGGCACAGACTTGTGATGTACGTAGGTACACAGACCCAAGCCTATCCGTTAGTCAATAACTCTGTGTCACGCTGTGAGTCAGACAAGAGAAATACTTGGAGCCAGGCCTCAGACAATTATATTTAATTCCCTCAACCTACTTTTTATTACCACCATTTTTTCAGCTGGCATTTCTGTTTCACTATACTCTGTTCAGACAATGTCAGAGTAACCAATGTTTGCTATGCACAAAACTAAGGGGGGTCCTATGGGGACACAAAAGCCTGATCACCTTAAGAAAGCTTTCTTTTTCAGGTAGTCTTGGTATCTTGATGTCTTAGGCATCTTAATTCTGTCTATATAATATCCTACAATTTTTTAAAATAACATCTGCATACAAAATTTCTTGTCGAATGACAAATGGGTTTAAAAAGTCAGAATAATGCTGGGTACACTCATATCACTTGCATAGACTGCTAAATCAAAGATTAACCCCCCCCCAAAAAAAAAACCCAAAACCACCCCACCAAGGAACATCTGTTTCCTTAGTTTCAGGTATTTATGTGTTACAAATCTCTTTATGACTAAGGACTGCACACAAACTGGTTGTTAAACAAGCTTTTTAAGGTTCTTTAAGAATTTCTCCAATAATTTTATTCTAAGCACCCTAATTGTTTAGTGAGAACAGAACCGTAACAACTTGCTTCCCATGTTTGCAGATCCACTAATATTTTTAAGTAACATGAGAAACTACCAACTCACAGTTTGGTAAAAATGTCTGTGTCAATAAAAGTCAATAGATACTGACTTTCCATAATAAAAAATACACAGATTGCTAGCAACAGATGATTATTTTCATTGCCATATGACTCCTATTATATTTTTATCTCTTTTGTTATATTTTAAAATAGCAGATACACTGTTCCAGACAGGAATATTTTTTCGGTGGCACAGAATATAAAGGTTTGGCTGCTCCTGTCTGCTTACAAGGACATTGCTGAGATCTGCTATAATTCACTGAGATATTTTGGAAGGAGGCAGAGAAGTCTTGGATTTAAAACAATAGAC